CAGTAAACACTGAGTTATATTTTATTTCAGCTTTAACACTGCATATTGCAAAATCATAAATGCATTTAACCAAGAGGGTACCAGATAATTCCTTAAAAAACAAATAATCTCTCTAACATAGGTTTCAAAGGACTAAGTTGACTTTGGCTGTAGTCCTTCCGCCTGCGGTGTTACTGCAGCAATGAAGACCAACACCGCATTAGAGCAGGACCATAGAGGAAAAAAAATCTTCAAAAATATAACATAACAAAAGAAAAGTGTTGATCAGTAAGTCAAGAACTGGAAGGTGTCTTTCATTCACTTCTCCAGATTGATTCTTCCATTCAGTCAGTTCTCTAGACATTTCACAATCTATAAAGAGAACTTAAGGTAATCTGAGAAATCATATTAAAAAAACCAAAAACAAACCAGTGGCAGAGAATACTCATTTTCAGGTGTCACAATAACTGAACAATATTTTTACTTCTTAAAAATAACTCAGTGGACAAATAGTATTTCATTTCAACAGCACTGATCCAAAACATAGGAATTTTACCTCACAGACTTGCAGTCTTCATTCATGAATCCTTATTACAATAATAAAAGTTTTATGAACTCAAATGATGCTATTAAGAAAGGAAAATTAGCCAAAGCCTCTCTGGATTTATTTTCAAGACCAGAATATTCACTTATTTCCATAAACTCTGTTTATACATGAAAATGAAACATTAAAGTGCTGGTTCAGAGCCAAGTTGCCTAAATACATAAAAGTTTAAACTACAAAGCAAGCTGCTGCTGGAATACATTAGCACTATCCATGTATGGGTTCCATGTCACTGCTGTCTTGCGAAAGGCACTGAAGAACACTTATGCCCATTACTAATGGAACTGATTAACTTCTCCAAAAAATCACACCAGTCACGCCTTCAGAATAACATAATGTCTTGACCTGCCAAGGAAGCCAGTATTTTACTTTCTAGCTATTGCCAAACTACATGGGGAAAAGCAAAACTACTGTGAAAGTATTAGAGAAATTTCCAGCAACATGACATTGGTCACAGGTTCAGAGCAGGGTACAGGCCAAAGACCACACTGGGAACTCCAGTTTACATACTCCATGGCCCTGGCACAAGTAAGATGATCTCAGTGTTGTTCTGTGAGATCTCTGCAGTGACTCGTACAGTGAGCTACAAAGAAGTAAATGCCTTGGTATACCTAATTTGTCTCCAATAAGAGTTGGCAGGCCAGTCAGTAACTACTTCTCACCTCCATGCTCTAAGTTTATGCTACCTCCTTTTAAACATTTACAGAGGACCATCAGCAAAACAGACAGGAAGACAGTATGTCCCCACCTCCCAACAGTGTGATCATGATATTCAGCACTCTGCTGCTTTTTCTTCATACCTTTCAACAAATACATACACATATAATTTTTATAATGACATAGTAATAAGAACATCTGCTTATGGAAGCCAAACACCTGGATGTAAGCCTTCTGCAGCTAGAGGGTTAATTCAGGGTGAAGGGACAACAATGTACTGAGTGAGGGACACTGATAGGGACTAAAAGAGCAGAAACCACTAGTGATGGGTCACTGAATATAAGCATAAATGTTTAGAAAGTCAGAAGCATTGGAGAGCAGTAGCACCATCGCATGACTTGGCATGTTTTTGAAGGGATGTAGTCTCAACTACTTTATTATGTGCTGAATTCAATGCTGCCCATGTGAGTGACGCTCATGGCATCTACTGGATTAGCTCTTGTTCTTAAAAGCAATATATGCTTATTTTGTAAAGCCAAAGATCAGGCATTAAAATGCTCCACACAGTCAAAACGATGCCAACCCAGGAAAGCAGAGTAGCAGCACTTTATGTATCTAACAAGTTTTAGTAGCAGGAACTTGAGATGTCTCAGGATTCTCAGTCACACTACAAGTAAAGAAGGATTTTTATGGGGATTGCTCGCCTCGACCCACAGACCTAAATTCATCCCAGGTGGCACTTTTGGCATATAAACATGGGATTTTTTTTTATTTTTTATCTGGCTCTATGTTTCTTCCTCCCTTGTAAGGATCCTGACAAACAATCTATTTGTCTGTGACCTCCACCCTGGATTACTATAAATCACTATGTGGTCAAAGCTGAATGTACGGTTAAAGAACAGGCTCCAGATGTGACTGCTCATCTTTTCCAATGCTCACATCACTACAGAGTAACAGACCTGCATTTAAGGCTCTCCACAAGCTCCCAAGTAGTTTCTAAAACAGACCTAATAAAGAACCAAGGCATTTTAGGTTGTCCATCCCTGTGATTTAATAGGTACCCTGTTTCAGTGCATAGGGAGAGTTAAGAGCCTTAGAACTGCAAACTGGACAGCCCAGATGCTGAAAAGCATCTGCACTATACACAGAGGCATATCTGAAAACTCCTCCACAGTGTAAGGGTCTCCTAGTGCCAAACTTAGTAATACTTCATGGTAACTAGGAACATAGATGCCTAAAACTTCCAAAGAACTGAGCAGAGCTAGCTCTTTTATTCTATAGTCTACGTTCTGCACAAGTATTTTCTTTAACACAAAAATCATGGTAGTAGTGAAACCACTCACTTTTATCTAAGATGTTGTAGTTAGTATACTTACCGAAAAATTGTACAGTATCAGTCCAGTTCCTAACTTGGCCTACAGCTGAAGCCCTCACCACCATTTGCAAGGAATAACTCTTACTTGTTGCAGAGACACTTTTTTCTTGTGATCTTTCTGGTCTCAAAAATTTTTAATTCCATCCTGCCCAGTGGTGGCACAACTTCAACCAGATTTACTATAAAGTCAGTTCTTTTTCAATTGATTAGGATGCCAGAAAATGTGTATCACACTCTCCCCAGGCTGAGTAGCAAGCTAATCTCAGATCACTTGTTTAGTCTGACATTTAGGCTAATATTTAAAAGGTGGTTTGCATCACAATTTTTTTGTTTGGTTTTTTTTTTCCCCAAGGGGTGACTTTACTTTCATTCTTTGAGAGGCTCAGTCTTGCTTATGTCAGTTAAACATGCCCATAGGATCTTGGGTAGAAGCAAATTCATCAGGCCATACATAAGAACTGCATAGTTCAGCTCAAAATGAGCTAATTCTGTGCCTGCACAGAAGCAAAATAATGAGGAAATTCTACTGTTAAACAAGAAAGTATTACAGTGTGGTTAGTCACCTTCAGAAGTAAATGGAACCTGAATTAGAGTCTTTAGAATGTCAATTCTGGCACCTCGTTTAGGATGACTACTAATTATTAGACCAAGAACAGCCAAAGTTGTGCTGCAGATTCCTCACTTCTTCATTTGATCTAATCCATTACAGAATTTTTAAATCTGTGAATGGTTCAAGACCTGGTTTTATTAAAGTTTGTGGCTTGATATATGCGCTACAGTGGCTGCTAAATAACAAAGCCCCAGCTGAATCATGGGAAAGTGATGACAGAGCATTTTCTGTGGTGATCCAACTGTGTGCATCCAGAGTAGGTCAAGCAAGTAACGGTGTTCATATCTTCAAGAGTACTGAAAAGTCTTCTTACTATATACCAGAGGAAAGTGTACCATTTAGTATTTTGGATTAATAGGCAGGATATTTCCTGCCTCACCTGAACAATTTCTTTGCTTATTCTTTGACTCTTACCATGAGAAGAGTGATACAATGTAGTTTCTATTAGTTTTGACTATCATTTTGGCATAAACAGGATAGAGGTTTTATATCAAATTTATAGCTTTGAGTTATTTGGCATGTAAAGTTTGACTTCCTTGAACTGTGCCAATTCTAAACTACAATACTGCCTAAAAGATCTCAGAAAAAGTTCACTTAAGTATTTCAAAGGCAAATTGAGACTCAGCTGTAACTTGGCAGACTTGAGTTCCAGACAAAAATGATTCAGTCTTTTCCTTCTTTATGTTATCTTTCACTTTCTTTCATCTTACCTTTTCCCAGCTTTTCATATTTCGGAGGAAAATGGAGAATATGGGAAAAGATCATAGTCCAGTATTTTAGGTTTTCATGCTAACAGGCTATGTTCAGAAAAAAGTGTAGATCAAAGTTAAATACAGAATGATCCTACACAGCCGACCAATAAGAGTACCAATGTTTCAGGCTGAAAAAATTACAGTATTTTCACAGCACTTTTGAACAGTTTATAGATAGGAAAAGGCTCTTTGAATTTGTCCATTATTGATCTAAAAATGGCCATGCAGTTCAATGGCATCTTGCTGAACTAAGACATTTAAAAGAACAGTATCACTATCAGTAAAGCACTGAGAAAAATTGTAAGTGGTTCCCTTCATGTAAGTGGTAGCTTCGTGTAAGCTAGTCCAGCAGAATATTATTAACCTCAAAGACTCATTACTTTTAAGTAAGAATGTCAATTCATAGACTATAGAGTAAAAAAATCAAATTGTTTGCTGAGATCTTGGACAAAAATTCATCCCCTTCTACACTACTATTATCCTGAATGATGGTTGAAAACCTTGCCAATTTTTAATTGCTTCATACAAGTTTTAATACAGTTAATGGAAAAAAAAAAAAGCAAATACAACAAATTTAACATATGTAACAAATAAGGAAATTTGCATTAGATTTGTAGGATCTGGCAGATTGCCACTCACCACAAAGTCTTGGAACAAGATAAAGTCATCCATAACTTAACAGATGTTAAACAAAACAAAAATAAAAAAGTGCTATTGCTAAATATTCTTATGGTGAATTCAGATTTGACTCCATGTTCATAACACAACTGACTTGACAAATGAAAAGTAAAGGTTCAGATAAATAAAACACAAAACAGAATGGCCACACACAGTGTGGGATCTCATAAACTACTGCAAATATTTGTACTGTTCTAAAAGTCATCTTGATTAAAAATTAACTATGCATTCCCTGCTTTTACCCAGTTTTCCTGAAAAGAATCAAAATTCAATTTAAAACATAATTAAGTATCCTGGTGTTTATACATTTTTCTCATCTGTAGAAGTTCCAAGCACAGGGTTATGTATTACAGTCATTTATTTCTTACTTACAAATCAGACAATTCTTGACAAAACAGTACAGTGCAATAACTCTTCCCATAATAAAAAGTTATATACGGGTTCTATTTTGGTTCTTTGCTGAAATTATTTTCTTGGATTTGTTTTCTTGATATAAATGTCCTTGGTCAATGTAGATGAAAAATGTAATTAAGCTGCAAAACCCATTAATTTAATTGACAGTTCCAGTATTGAAGGAAGCTTGTGCAACCTTTGAATTTGTTTTCTTGTTCAAAGCTGTGCAGATAAAGTTTCCAGCTTCCATCACTGTATAAAGATTTACTCCCTAAAAAAGAAGTGAAAAATATTAATAATAATAAATTCACATGTTGAAAATGCTTAAACTCTAAGGTTTCTTTTTTGCTAGAGTCTCATTTTTGCAAACAAAGGGCCCACTTCATGTCACAGATCAGAAATGAACATCAGTAGAGTTACAGTGACTTACACAATAGTCACAGCTTCAGTTGTTTGGAAGGACCTACTATTTTGAGTGATTTATCTTAACATCAGTAGACCGAATACTCAAGTAATATCTTTCAAAATCAAAAGAATCTGGAATAAAGAACTGGAATAACAATTAGAGGAAGTTGGAAGAAAAATATCCTATCTACTTAAGTGCTGTACTTACTTGTCACCCAGCACTAAGAAACTTTGTGCATATAAGTATCCCATTTACAGCTCAGAAAATAGGGGAAACACACTTCTACTGGCAACTGAGTTCAATGAGAAACAGGATCCTGCATTCTCTTGAATAAATACCATCTCCTTTAAGAAGTTCCTTTCAATGCAAAATTGCAATTTACGTTCCTAGCACAACTGAGCAAAAAACTGCAGTTGCTTGATCTGCCCATGCTAAAAAAAGTCCCTTGAGCAACCGTTAACTAACATAAGATACATATCGGTAGCGGCTGGTTGCTAAAATGGAATCAGAGCACTGATTAAAGAGGAAAAAAATACTTCATGATTAGTCTCCTGGATTACTCATGTATAGTAAAAGTTTTAGAGTTAGATCATATGAGTGATATAAGTACTTACTCTGAAGACTGGAATTTACAAGCCAGTAAAGTTCCTGTAGAAGGGATGTGAAAGGGGACTTTGAATTACCAATACACTGTACAGTCACATAAAACTGGGATACATATGTCACCCAACATTAAAGAGTAGAAGACGTACTGCACTAGAAATAGACTTTCATAACACTTACAGATTTATGCACTAAAGTTCAGACCAAGACCTGATTTAGATGCTTAATCCTTTAATTCAATCTAGTTCTTATTTTGATATTCTATGGTAAAATTTGCCTTTTTCATTTCTGGAATTGGCTAAAATGTTAATAGAAATTACTTCATGGAAATGTAATAAAAAACTTTTTTAATTTATTTAAAAAAAAAAAGCTTCAAAGTTTCTAATCGGCTCTAGTATTTAGTAGTCTGTCTCATTTTAAGACAGTTATAACAAATTTGATTTCAGCTTATTCTGTTTATCCTTTACCGGTCATTACTTAGGTTTAGTTTGTAGAGTGCTATTGCATAAAACATAATCTCAAAAATTCTTAGAGCATCTGTAGTTTTTTTACTAGAACAAATGAGAAACATACCACCATAGACATACTTGGTAGTTAGATTATGGAAGACAGCAAAATAAAACTCCCAAACTATACAAAATTCATATTGTCAGCACTGTAACACTGCATAATGTGATATGTATTGATAAGAAACACATGTTCACAGTACACATTCATTAAATGGAATAGAAGCATCTCTGTCTTTTAAATTGTCTTTCTCATGTAAGTGTTGTGAACCAAAGACGATTACCACGAGGGCATAAAACCTAGCATTCAGAAGTACAACTCACAGATGGGGATAAGGAAAAAGTAGTGACAGGTGTTTGTAAGGTTGCTGAGCCAAAATAATGTATCTTCAGACTTCAGATACTCAGAAATGTACTTAAGTGTACTTGGTAACCACTCCATATATCCAGAATTATTCCTTAACACCAAGGAATGAAACTGTGAAACACAAGAACAAGTACCTCCAGTAGCACCCATGAACTTGGATAAGTGCTTTAAGTCAGAAAAGCTTCTGCCAGAAGGCAAAGTCCTTTAACTCCCATTGACTTCAATTAATCAGTTGTCATTTGTGTGCTCTTGCAGCCCAGAAAGCCAACCGTATCCTGGGCTGTATCAAAAGAAGCATGACCAGCAGGTCAAAGGAGGTGATCCTGCCCCTCTACTCTGCTCTTGTGAGACCTCACTTGGAGTATTGTGTACAGTTCTGGTGTCCTCAACATAAATAGGACATGGAGCTGCTGGAGCAAGTCCAGAGGAGGGCCACAAGGATGATAAGAGGACTGGAGCACCTCCCGTGTGAAGACAGGCTGAGAAAGTTGGGGCTGTTCAGCCTGGAGAAGAGAAGGCTGCTTGGAGACCTCATAGCAGCCTTCCAATATCTGAAGGGGGCCTACAAGGATGCTGGGGAGGGATTCTTCATTAGGGACTGTAGTGGTAGGACAAGGGGTAATGGCTTCAAACTTAAACAGGGGAACTTTAGGTTAGATCAAAGGAAGAAGTTCTTCACAGTGAGGGTGGTGAGGCACTGGAATGGGTTGCCCAAGGAAGTTGTGAATGCTCTAACCCTGGAGGTGTTCAAGGCCAGGCTGGACAGAGCCTTGAGTGACATAGTTTAGTGTGTGGTGCCCCTGCTCATGGCAGGGGGGTTGGAACTAGATGATCTTAAGGTCCTTTCTGACCCTAACTATTCTATGATTCTATGATTCTGTGATTCAGCGTTCATAAATACCAAGTCTACTATTTTTCTGTACTTCAGTTTTGGTGTCAGTGATGTGAGGCAAACAGTACTTAGTTGTTTCTCAGAAAGGCTTATTGTTTGCCAAGCACTTTGAAGGCATCATAAACACAAATACTATTACCGTAATTACATAGGAACCATATAGAAAATGTTTTTATAGAAAGTGCATGTCTCCCTACAAAGTTGCATAAGCATTAATGACCTATGACACAATTATCTATCCATTACCATGGTAGAACCAATAAATCTCTTTGTAGATGGGCTCTGCTAGAAAATTATTTCATGTTTAGCCTGAGATTCAGTTCATGCATCACTTCTTGGTTACATGTTCTGAAGAACAGTATAGAATAAGCATCATTATTTTTTAGCATCATTATTTTATTTTAGCAAAATTATTATTTTGCTCTATGTAGTCAATCTGAACCCAGTAATGTATGCTTAAATACTGTCCATCCTTTGGTTGACACTTTCAGTGACTTCAGTCAACAAAATTAAAGCTTTAGTGCACAGCTGATAGGAACATTAGAAAGCACTCCTTGCAAATGGAGAGCAGTAGTAATTATGATTTCATTTTGTGCCATTACACAAAAAGGGACATATTAATAGGTATTTGTGGTAATGATTATACGATTTTACAGAATTGGCCATGGTACCAAAACCAACCAACACTGCAAAGACCAAAGATCATATATTAAGCTAATAATTTTGAGGGTCTGTATCTCTCAATCAGTAAACTACACTTTTCTTAATGGGCCAGAAAAGGGTCAGGAAACAAAGCCTTGTGTATTGCTATTGCATAATCTTAAATTAAAAAAATGTTAAAAAAAAAGGAAAAAAAGACAAAAGGGGAAGTAAGCATTTGATAGTGAGATTCTTGTCTCTGTGGGATTTGGTTTCAACCTTCAAGACAAGCTAGATTCCTGCTTCCTGCTTCAAAAAGCCTGGAACAACGTATATTTGATTTAATAAGGATATTTTTATTTAATTGATTCATTTTGCTTTTGGAAAAGTTGATTGGGTTTTTTTTGCCCAAGGAAAGACTGTACAGAAAGTCTAAGTTGCACAGCAATATAAAGTGAAATACACAATTTCTCCTCCTTATTCCAAAGAACTGTATTGTTTCAAAAGAGTAAATGCCTTCTTCACAAAACAGCTATTCCAAAGCATGTATGAACAGTTCAAAACAGAGTCCACTTGTACAACAGGCACTTGTGATTAAACCTTTTCTGAACAGGTATCTGAGACCCACACAGAACTCCTTAAGAAGCACACGAAAGCAGATAAGCATTTCAGTGAACTCTTTAAGGTTCTGAATAGGCTTTCACAGTGCTCAGGGGACGTACAAATCAGGGAAAAGTTCCACGATCTTTTTCTGTCAAGGAACTCCACTGGCATGTATGCCACACTGAACTGCAACCTACAGACAAGTAATAAGCACCCCAGTAACTCAGATCTTTGTATTTCGGACATCAGGCTTTTCAGTTTCTTTCTGCAGTAGTTTAAATACAAACCATACACATTGCAGATATGGAGCCCTTCATATGTTCTCCTTGAATTTGAATCTATTAAGTCTATGCCTAAGTTACACGTAAAGTCACTGTATCGCTTGGGTCAGTACAAACTCATTATGTCAGTTTCTAGAACAATGGTGATCAACAGGAAGACCAAAGAGCATATTCATTGCAGAAGACAGCGTAACGATTCTATGATTCTATGATCATTTGGTTCTCAGGAATACATAATAACTAACATGCCAACCAAGCCAGGGATACTAAATGTGTGCTTTTGAAGTGTAGGTGCTCACTGGTAAGGTTTGTTAAAGTGCAGCTCAGTGCAGATAAGCTGCTTTGCCCCCTCCTCCAAGAACAAGGTGGGAAATAAAAATGACTGTGAAACCTGCTAGCCAGTAACAGATTCTGTACAATTCTGAAATAAATTAAGCAGACACTTGAGAAATAGCAATATCCTGTGCTTGGGCTCCAAACACCACAGTTTTTCTCCACGTTGAAGCCAGAAAAAGTGATAACAAATTAATAAGCAGCATGCGTACAAAGCTGAGGTCTGCTCAGTCTTTCCACCGTAAAGCTAGTCAACCTTCTGCAGCAATGTCTACAGTACTGATTTTTTTGTGGTTACTCGGGCAAAGTAATGACTCAAAGCAGTTGCTACTGAGCTTCTCATAGCTCCAGGTAGGCAAAGGGGGGTTCTTCAAATGTCTGTCAAATATGCAAACCAATCTTACTCTAAATTGCTAGTGAAGAGAACATCACATCACTCATGTTATGTGTCAAGCCATGTTAAAGAAGTGAGTTTGTGAAAACTACTATTTGCTCCCAGTATTTTATTTTACAGCACAAGTAATTGTCAGGTATGTATTATATGTTCTTTAGAAAAATACGTTTGTATTCCTTAAAGTCTTAAGTAGAAAGTAAAAATATCTTACTGTGTTGATCCCCAGACCATTAAGCATGTATATTACATCCTCTGTGGCTACATTTCCAGTAGCACCTTTTGCATAGGGACAACCACCCAGTCCTGCAACAGATGAATCCACTACAGCAACCCCCATCTGGAAGATAACAACACAGAAATGCGACATCAGCACAGACTATTATTTATAATTATTCATAAATTGCAGGCTATATATATATATATTAGTTTCTCCACAAATGGGTGTGTTCCTTAGGGGAAATTCCATATAATGGTCTTCATTCTGACATCTTTATAAGGTAAGACTCTTCAAACACAGGATGTGGAATAAACAACTAACAGTGAATTACATGTGATTTTGGCAGATAAGACGATTGCTGTTTTAGAGCCAAAGTTTTATGATTTTTCTCTCTTTATCTCTCTACATGTTGTTTTCAAATAGCCTGCATCTATTTCTGCAACCAAACACAATCAAGGCATTTATACAAATGTATAATTTTAAGCATATGTATGTCTTTGAAAGTTGGAAGTCTTAGTATTAGCATCTGACTTACATGTCATCCAAAAGATTTTGGGACACCTACCCTGTAAAATGTGTTTTGTATTAATGGTTATTCTCCCATAAAGAATTTCCTGAGCATTTTCTCTCCTCTAATTTTCTTTTCATTCCTCTAAAAAGATCATGAAGCCACCATATAAATAATTTTTTTGTTCTTGTTTATGAGGAACACTGCATGATATTTTCACTCAAATTTAACACCACAATGTAAGGAAGAATGAAATTTTGGCAGATCTGTTAAAGAGCTCATGGGTTCAATAAATTGGAAATAAAAGCTTAAAGAACCTTATCCTGGTGAATCTGACCCATTGTTTACCATATTCACCAGTCTAGAAGAAAACACAACCCCCAAAATAGCAAATTTCACACCCTACAAGGCCTGGAGAGGCATCCGAAAGCCTAGTTTTTAAGATGCTTAAAATAACTGAATAGGTGGATATCATGGAATTTCCCTAAAAAATAGGTTCTGTGCTTTACTTTTAATATTTTTAAGGGAATACTTGCTGCACAGTGTTAACCTTTCTCACGTAATTTAAGACTCAAAAAAAACCACACTCAGCTATCATGAATTCATAATCCTCCTACTTTTATTTTCTTCCTACTGCACCCAAATGCTTTCTCTCTCCTGATCCTCTCTCAGCATATTCTTTTATCAAGAACTGATAATTAAAAAATTGTAAACCAGTTACCAGTTCCGCCCAGCAGATATTAAATTTCCTATGGGATAAAGTCTTCCCTGGAGATTGGTCAGGTAGAGAAAAGAACTGACCTTGTAGTTTCTACTGATTTGTTTAGTGACCTCTTGCAATCTCTTCTTTCCGTAGTTAGATTTTAAAATAAAGCTGAAATTGGGAAGCATTTTTTTCTCTTATAACATGTTAGGTATGTGATCCAGGACACTGGATCTCCCCTTGTCAGAAAATGCTCTTCAGACTTCCTCTTGAAGAAGATTAGATGCCTTTGGAGGCCTTCGGGCTCTAAAGATCATCAGAAGCAGGGAATGGTATTAGACAGAAAAGTCATCAGGTCTTCAAAGACACCAACTTCTCTCTACCTTAAGCACACTGCAGGGTTCTCCTCCCCCTAGGGTTAATTCAGGCAGACATAGACCAGAAGTTTAGAAGCCTGGCAGACTGAATCAGAGTGAAATCACAGCTCAGATTCAGGACAGGAGTTCCTGTGCAGATACGTTTTCAAAACTCCAACTTCGACTTTGGATTCAGAGAGATTCAAGGTTGAACTATGCCTGTTAATCACATTTTCAAGTCAGTAAGATCAGCTTAGAGGCCTAGCTTCATAGACAGCTGATTTCTGCTGCTCTCCTTCCCTGCAGGGTAGTCTGGGAGCCCAACTTCTCTGTCACAGCCATGAACACAACTAGGTGGCAAGGTAGGCAAAAGGTGATGGCCTGCATGCTGCAGTTGCTAAGTCCCCTTTTTACATATGCCTATGAATGGTTTTTTCTAGTTCTAATGTTTTGTTGTATTTGCTTCAAGTTTTAACAGTGCTTTCCATAGCTTTATCATTGGCCTTGCAGACTCTGAAGTTCCATCATTTCTGAAGGGCGATATTAAAGAGTAATCCAATGAAGTGTTGTCTAGGTTACTATTCTTAGAGAGGAAACATCATCTTAGGCTAAGTAGCTGCTCAAAGCCTGTAATAAAGACCTTAAAGAAGCCGAAGTACATAACTGTGACAGGCAAGGCAGTACTGTTTAATACTGCTCACACAATAAGACTCTCTAAGAAGGGATATTGTACTTTAAAGTACACTAATCTGTGAATTATGGAGTGAATCACCAAGGTACATGTTTCACATTTCAGTCACTTGTCACACACTTTGTTTGTGTAACCCACTGGTCAGAAAATATGTTATACAGCACATCTGTGTCCAGCTCACAGAGGATATGCATTTATGATAGCTTTCAACCAGAAATTCTGTCTGCTTTTGCACTAGCTGCTAAGATGCATACATTTACTCTGGAAGCTGTTGCTTCAAGCTCCACAGTGGCAGCTTTCAGGCTTATAAATGTCCCTGCAGAAACCCTCAGTGCAAAGACTTAGGGTATGGTGAAGATCTGGGGAAGAGAAAAGGAACACTAACATGTAGAAGTGCTTGTATGGTACAAGCATGCATCCCACTACCATATATGCTCTTTCAGTCTGATTTTAAGATTTCTATCAGAAATTGCTGTTTCAGAGATGAAAGGGTAGAAGAAAGTGTTTTTCATGGAGTTTTCCCCCAGCTGTAAGGTTATGTCATAACTGCTAGAGCATTCTCCTTGGTGTTATTTTCAGTAACTTTTACATGGAAATGAAAGGTGTAGGCAAATAATGTGCCGAGGTACGTCATTATTGTTAAACTTCCCAGAAAGATCAGCAGACTCAGAAACAACTTTAGTAGTATAAAAGCTGCCACTTTCTAACCCCAGTGAATGAAATGCTTCTCCTTGTGCAAAAAAGCAGGATGAATGTCAACTAAATTGTATTTGGTTAGAACAGCCAGAAAAGTTTGCCACGTCAAAGCTGGGGAGAAACTCCTCCTGTGGGGTGTATATTACTATCAGTAGCCTGCTGCAGTCCTTCACAGGGCATTCACTGTAAGAAAAAGAAATAAAATAAAATAAAATAAAATAAAATAAAATAAAATAAAATAAAATAAAATAAATTATATACTGTCAGCATTAAAAAGGTGTCTTCTAAAGGCATTGTATATATACACATATTAATTTCTTTACATGCTTGTACAAACCTTTGTGATGCCACTGTAATTCTGCATTTGCACTACAAGTCTCTTAAAACTGGGGTACATGTTGCTTATCGTTGCTTGTTGAAAGTGTTTGTGAATACATGGAGGGGTATGGAGTACCAAAGCAGCATGAAGGTAACATGAAACACTTATCTTTGTCTAAGTACATCCTAGTATTCTCAGGCAGCCTCATCTGAGATAATTCAAACAACCCCCACTGGAAAATGGAGCAAGCTAAGTCAATTTTGCCTAGTGTAGATGCAAGAGCATAAACCCGACACCTTCTGCTGGCAAAACAGTGGGACCATTAACCTCCAGGTGACAGGCAGTGACAACTGCTTTGTCTTTTAAACCAACTGTAACGGCTAAACAGAAAAAGGGGAAAGTCTAGTCACAGCTTTACATTGGTAACATCCTTTTTGTGGCAATGGTTTTCATCCTAGTACAGGACACTTTAAACCTTCACTTTCCAGAAGTACTATATAAACATGTTTATGTTTCTAAAATTGTATCTGCATCTGGATGGATTTGCCATTTTAACATTCAGGCAGTTGTAGACAAGGTCTTGACATGGTGTATAAATACAGCAGTTCTGTCTGACCTTCAGATCTACCAGGTCTTCAAATCAGTGCTCTTAATATGCAATTAAGCATGTGTCTCTGCCTTTAAAATGCTGTTTTTTAAAGTTCTATTCACAGCACTTCTGATAAGATGTCTGCTGCAACCTACTGCTATTTCAGCAGCAGCCTCAGCTGCATCTGTCTGCTCTTGCATGTTGTACAGGCAACGTAATGTGTTTTCTGATTCATGTGCACAATCACTGCAGTTCATCTCCAGTGTGGTCCCATTCTCCATTAATATGGATTAAATAATCCATTCTCCAAGCTCCATTCTAACAGTGCTAAAAACAGATGTTGGAAAACATCCTTCAGCAGCACTACTAACTAATTTGGAGGCTAATATTACAACCCAGCCTGTTCAAGCACAGAGTCTGAAATAGCACCTAATAAATAACTTTTCTGCAAGTTTGAGCAGCTATGAAGCTGTTTTGCTTTTTCAGTCATTAAGAGCATAAGGAGCTCTAAAAGAAAAGCTAAAAATTGACATAATGTGTAAAACAAGGCCACTTCCTTCATCATATGTCCAATATTTCTCAGCCTTTTACAAGAGATAATGAGTTTCAAGCTTTTCAGCAATACTGTCAATTAGATCTCATATTCGCTGTCAATATGAGATCTTTAAGAAACCCACAGTCTTATTGTCACTTCCTGAGAGGCACTAAATTGTGCTGAGATTCATGAGAAATTCTGTAGGATATGTCCTAGACGAGTACTCACTGGGCTGCTTATGTATGGATGTGTGTGTGGGTGAACAATGGCTTGGCTTACAGGACAGCTTCAGTGTTCCAAGCTTTTTTGACACTTGCAGAGTTTTGATAATCACTAAATTCCTGAAAGTGGTTCCTGAACACCTTCCAAACTTTAGCTTTGGCTAGTTTTAGCTTACTCTTTAGAGAAGGCAGAAGACTCCTGTCCCATGCTAACTTCCTCCCAATGAGAGAAAAAGGAATTAAATTCATCACCTTTGTCAAATAGCCAGTTTTAACAGGAAACCATTATTGCCAGTGAATAATAAATGCTTCATGTTTCTCAGTTTGCTTTACTACTTCCCCATAACTTCTTGCTGGGACAATTAGTCTCCTTCCTTACTGATCTTTAAACCTGGCTTTGCCTGACGGAAGTTTAACTTTGTCCCTTTTTTAAAAATGGGAAGGTCAGCATCAGTAACTCCATGGATGCATGAGGTATAAATCAGAAGCTATAAATCAGGTC